CTAACTATTAGTTTGCTATATAGACGACTACTTTGCTATTTGGCAGCATGGCTCATACATAAGCTGGACTCGAATCCAGCTTGTGATTATACAGTGTATAATATTGTCATATGAGATGTATTCACCTAATTTCGTTTAAGCTGATGAATGACTGGTAGAATAAGAATTTTCCCACAATGATATGAGTTGAGTTAATGTTTCTATTGAATTTCACATAGCCTTGCTTTCCCAAAAGTTGTTTTAATCCAGGCACCAGTGGACTCAAGTTTCGACCTCGCATCGGTCTTATAAACACCCTCAGCGGGAGTCGCACCGCGATAGTGCAGGATGGGAGCTTGACAAGCTAACCACTCGGCTACACTACCATGAGCGCCTTTTGGGTCACAGGGCAAATGTGAATTTTCAAGGAAGGCCATGACCTTTGCTCGAGGCCGAAACTTCAGTCCACTGGTGCTTAGATGAGAACAACTTTTGGGAAAGCAAGGCTATGTGAAATTCAATGGAAACATCAACTCAACTCAACTCATATCATTGTGGGAAAATTCTTTTTCTACCATTCCTTCATCACATTAAACGAAATAGGGTGAATACATCTCATATTACTGATTTACTGGTAGTCACGAAAACAATACTTAATTCGAAAAATAATTAGAGGTAGGCTCGCGATTAGAATTCTCACTCCAGATTATTTTTGCCCATCATCCTAAAGAAAATAGACCTAAGAACTAAGATTGGAATTGAATTATTCACTTCAAATGCCTTAGTTTTTAAGGCGAAATATTTCGATAGGCGTAATCTGGATCAGCAGTGCTCAGCTATAGCTAAAACTCATTATAATGAATGTGAGCATACTAGTCTCAGAACTTAGCATATTTTGTATTTGGGGTCAAAAATCACGCCTGCCTTATCATGCGGTTTTGTTATTTATAAGAAAAACATCGTTACCTTTATATGAGGTCTCCATATTTAACTGGACTGTTATGCTTCTCTTAAAAAAATAAGGATTAAATTCGATCTAGAATAGTAAAAGTAAAGCTTTATTCCATTTAACAGTTTCACATGTGAAAATAAAAAAGGTTTATTTGTCAAGAGACAAATTAAGATCAGCCATCTAAATACGTTTTAAACGTTTAGCATATCTATTTCGTTTTTTTATGTTCTATTACCTGATTTGTACCTTTAACTTCTCAGAACAGGTCAGGTGCCTCGAATATATGATTAAAAATTAGGATTTCTTAATAATTTTTTTCCTTGAAGCATTCATCTCGTAGGAAAATTTATATTGAAGAGATTCTTTGATTAGCCTCATCAGTAGACCAAGGACGTAGCTTCCTTATGGATGTGACTATTAATTTTAAGATCCTTGGCCAATAGGTCATGTAAGAGAGGCAAGCGAGGCCTCTCCCATTTCATATTTCTGCTAAGACAAGTTTCTATAATGTAATATTGTATTTTTTCCTTTACACTCATTGATATTATTAATAATATTATCTACTCACGATTCGATGTCTTCAACTCTTCCATGAGAATCCTGATTATAATCTTAACTATGAGTCATCAAATAAGGATTGTATTGCAGGAGGTCACAATTCTTGTTTTAGACTTTAATAATTTTGTTAAATAATTGTTTCTTGTTTTTCGTTTATAAGTAGAGTTTCGAGACTACCAGTAAATAAGTAATATGAGATGTATTCACCCTATTTCGTTTAAGTTGATGAAGGTCTAGTAATTGAATTCTCCCATAATCATATGAGTATAGCTGACGCTTCCATTAAATTTCGCATGGTCTTGCTTTCCCAAAAGGTGGTTTCATCCAGAGTGGACTGCAGTTTTCACCTCGTCTAGTCACACCATGAAAGTGCAACGTATAATCTTGATATGTTAACCACTACGTCTGGGAATGTACCAAATCGACTGTCCGACTCTGGAAATTATCATTCATACTATGGACTCCAGACAAGGTGCGTTCCTTTAGGTCTTCTTGCCAATATGACCAAGTTGCGAAAGCAAGATCAAACAACTTCTATATAACGAAAGGCGAACGCGACCATACAAAAGGCCACACTATCTTGGTCTTCATACCTTCCATTTAGCTAACATTGTTGTTGAGACTTCCATTTCGTTTGTAAGTGAATGATGAAGAGATTCGAGAGTTGATTACACCAGAAGACGACGACTGACTCGCATTTTATCTCAACCGTTTGTATTTAATACGACGTTCCGGTTTACGCAGTCCACGAGACATCCTCCCTTGTTTCGGGTGAACGTCTTAAAGCCAAACGGCCGCAGTACAACGAGAATGTGCTGTCGTCTTTTACTGTGAAATCAATAAATTAATCTCTTCATCATGTAATTTAATAGGAAATATAGGTCCCCACAACATAGTTATCTAAGAAAATTCATCGAAAGCTACTTATTATTCGTACATACTTTAGCTAAACATGGATTTATTTGTGCTGAATGCTAATGAAACGAGATTTCCTGCTCCAAGGTTAGATTTCAAAACATAAAAGTATTCTTGCCTGGATTTTTGGTATAGCTAATTTACAAATTACTTCCTCTTAACTTTTCAAAGTAAACGATGGATCTAACGATATCCTAGGCTCTATTTAGCCTTCAGACTTACCCCTTTAAATCATATCTTGCCTCGGTTTCTTACTTCATATTCTATTCAAGCACTATCAGCTTTTCCGCTAAATTTATTTTGCATTTCACACCCAGTAGGATGTTAATTTTTCTTTTTTACTCAAATTAATCTATCCGATTTCATTTTATCGGTTCTTCAATATCAACCTATTATGGCCGATTCGGGCTGATAACACAAACTTGTTAATCCTATTTTTATCTTACCTAAGTAATTTCTATTTGCCAAGTGTGAAGACATAACAAACTCCATTAAATGTAGAGTTATATTTATTTGAAGATGTTTAAAAACTACTTTCCTTTGCCATCTTTTTTCAGTCGGGAAGTCGTCGTTACACTTTTAGGATCGACGCACCTCTTTGCTCCTCGATAGCCCTAGTAATTAATGAGACAACTTGGCACTTTCTCAGCCCTTTGCCTCATAAAGCAGGACGATGGCAGGGCAAATTGGACGTTGGAGACCGATTAGGTCAGCTTTCTGTTTACGCGCGATTTTTACCTCATCCCTTGGCCTCGACCACGGCGGATGATCGTGGTTCAGACTTTCGCCAGGTTGGGAGACTGGAAAAATCATCCATTGAGGGCATTGCAAGAAGGCGGAGAGCTGAAGCCGAGAGACAAAACGAGATTGCCTACGTGAAGCTTCTCGATTACGTTCTGGTGCACGATTCAGAATTTATATAATGTACAATCATTTTTTGCCTCCATTTCTTCTTCATTACTTTTTTCTTCTTCCACCTGTTACATTTTTAATATTCTAAACTTAATATTATTTCATTGCTTATACTCATTTCTTTTATTGCTTCAATTTGATCAACTCTGAGAGATTTATGTCTCAATACGATACATCGCGACTATCAATAATTTTCTTGTTCATCGCTCTTTTACGTTTTTTTATCTTCCTGTATCTTCTGTGGGGGGCTTTTAAAACCAGGGTCTGCCCTGCTATCCGCATTTTTCTCCTGCACATAAACATTCGCTCAAACAATTTGTTATATTTTAATATATGTCTATTCCTTTTCTGGTGCAGACAATAACTTATTTTTGGCTCATCCCATAAAGATTAAAAATCAATAACTTGTCTTTTCAAACAATAAAATTTAGTAATACATCTACTTGCTCATTATCGCTGTGGTTGTCTATTAGTTGCTCTATTTTTGCTTCCTGCATGGATACATGCTTGAACAACCATCACAGCCTAAGCTTACATTCTTCTTTATTTGGAACCTCTGTTAATCTTATAAACCTAAGTGATAACCTCACCTGGTTTTGTGTGTTTCGCCTTAAACATGCATAGTCGTTCCTTTACATTTAAACTAATAATGTTACTTTACTTTTATATTATTGTTGATATAGATGAAACTTACACTTTATTTTTATTCTTACTGTAAATGGTTTATCAATTTCCGTCCAAAGTATTGCTTTCCGAATTTGAAAAGAAATCATCTCCTATACTACCTTCCTTATTTTTACACTTGTTCATTTGCTACGCTAGTCTCGATTAGACTATGATGTAACTTTATAGTCCTGAATTTGTTTCCGTTTAGTCTCTTGTTCTGTTTGATCGTCGTTGCTTATTTATTTTGTCTCTGGTTCTTGATACGTATATTTATTCTAACGTAATTCTTTGCTCTGTACCTTTATTCCATTCCTTTTGCCTTTATTCTTCTCTTATTCGCACTTTATTTTTGGTTTTAACATAACCGAATTGCCTTGATTTTTTCGAATTTAAGTAGCTTCATCTCCTTGCATAAACATACAGACTATCATTCCATTTTGAAATTTGCCTTTATTATTGCTTAACTCTCATACTTGTTTATATCATTTGGTTCTGATAAAACTTTTTACTGCTTTTATTATTTGGCAATTATGGCTGTGCTATTGTATTTTATTTCTTTGTTTCAATCGTATTTTATTATTCTTACTACTCTCAGTAAATTTCCTATATTTCCTCTAGTCGACACCTCCATTTTGCCTTGCAGCTTAATCAAGCGTTTCCTCCTTGAGACCTAATTATTACCACTTCCTTGATGACACAAATATTTAACAGCATGGGCATGCTATTTTATTGTTGTGCCTATTTACAAAGATCCACATCTCTTCTATAATTCAAATATTCTACTCACTAATTTGCATGCAAAGTTATATATATAGAAACTCAGTCGTGTATATGACTGATGATTAAAATTTTGCGTTATAAGCATATTG